TATTACATTTGAATAAAATACTGTATTTTCAGACCATGTCTTTTATAGGAAGTCCTTGTCTTTTACAAAAAAAGTCCTTTTAGTGACTTCTTGTTGCCTATGTTTTTTTTTCTTTGAGCTGAGTAAGCTTACTCCCATTTCACAGAAAAGGTATGGAGTGATTGATTGCCAGAGCTCAGAGAAAAGCTCTTGTCTTTGTTTTCCTGTTTCCTTTGCTTTTTAACAGGCCATTTTGAACACAGAATTGAACAAAATTCTGAACAAAGTTTTGAACATCTCGATCTATTTTTGGAAGTGCTTTACAAAATGATTGACTGGCCCAACAGGGAGCCTGTAGTGTTTTGTTCTATGAACTGCATGGGTAGTGTGGTTTCGTTTGGGGTTTTGTTGGTTGGTTTTCTTGTTTCTTTCCTGAAGTAGATGTTGGAATGCTAAAAGTATGATAGGTTTTGCATATGGGATACATTCCCATTTTCAGAAATCCCAGTACATTGTAATGGGTTTTTATGGTAGTACTAGTAGCTGAAAGCATAATCTCTTTCTCTCTTCACTCCCATGGTGCTAATAGTTTGGGTCTTACTAGTCAAAAAGAAAATGAAAATCACCAATTTATGTGCAAAGGAACATGGTACTTGAGTGGATGCTGAAACACTCCCCTACTACCACCACTTTTATTAAATACATAAATTAGATGTTCATGCTTTGAATTAGAAATAGGTGCGTGTAATGAAGTAATGACTTCAACTGAATTGATTGCTCTGCAGTTTTAATGCAAGATGCGTTGTCAGACTGCAGTCAGTATTTTTGTGTCTGTGTATTCTAGAAAAATTAGCTTTGTACTGCTGATAGGTAAACTTGAAGGACAGACTATCAGGAGTTAAATAAATTTCTAAAAGGGTAGTGGTCTCAAATCTACCTGACTGTCCAAGAGAAATACAATTTCCAAAAGAAAACAAGTAGTTTACTCTGAAAAAGTATATAGATTCCTTTTTTTTTCCCCTTAAAAATGCTGTACTTTAAAAAAAAAATTTTCTTGTAATGAGTTTATTTTTCATTTATGCGCCAAATTATTTGGATTGTTTTTCATTCCCAAATCATAGTTGCTTGGAACCATGCTAACATGATTTGATGATTTTTATGTTCCTCTTAAAGTTCTGAATTGTCTCAATTTGCACAGTTGTATCATCTATTTTGATAGAAATTTCGGGAGCAAACAGTTTCAGGCAGGATTTGAAATGGACTGGAACAGACTGTTGAATGAATGCAATACTATTTAATACATGGATATCACTTTAAAACAGCCGACTTGTTTGGTTCTTTAGGTGGAAGTAAATGGTTACCAAGTTCTTAGAACTGTTTGGAATCTTAATAATGTTATGACTGTTATTAAACAGTTGAACTGCACCTTTATTTTTTAGCGGTAAAATTTAGTAGATTTTTTTTAAGCATGTACTGTCTTTGAAGGACTTATGAGTAAGCTGAATTTTTTTGCTGTCTTCCATCATCTTGCTTTTCAGATTGAGATCAGTCAGCTGTTTAGTAAATAACAAAATTTTGCATATAAATTTAAGTGAGAAAAATGTGGGAGTTTTGAAGTTGATGAAAATACTCATACTGAGGACTCCACATTTCTAGAAGAAAGGGGGTGCAACATATTATACGGTTATAGCCTGGAAGTTAGCCGGTTTAGACACTTCATCACCCCTTTTCTACAACAGAAAAGCAGATAGAATTATTTTCAGTCCTCCCTCCCCCATTTCCTGCCCTTCCTGTTCTTTCTGCTGATACAGGCTTCTGCTGTAAAATATCTTCAAGTAAACCACAGCAGCTAAGATAATGATTCAAATAAGACTGTTTTCCACTTCAGAAATGAGCACAATTGTGAGAAAATTTGGGGAATTATTAAAGTTTTAGTTGACTGAGTAGTATATTTCATCTGTTTTGTTTTGGAGAAGAAAGGTCAGGGGAAAGAATATTTTGGACTGGTTCAGCAGGCTCAGGGCCTTTCATTTTCATTTGCTCTGTGGTGGGTGTTTCTTATTTGTTTAAGATTTGTTGTTGTTTTGGTTTGGTTTGTTTTTTTTAGGTCAAGGTACTAGTGATTTCATCATGGTTGGATTTATGAGGTTTTTTCCTTTTATTTTAGACAAATTTTGTCAATGAAATGCTTCAATATTTAAAATTGTCTGGATTGGGGAAATAATTTTGTATGACTTTTTTTCACTAACTGTTTTGAGAGAACTGAATTGATATTTTCAGATACTGTCCTTGATTAGTACCTATTGAACCCATACAGTTAATAGTAGTTACTTTGACCACAGCTGGTCTTACTGCTTTTGACTGCCACATTTGCTCTTTAAGGTCACTTCTGGTGGCAGAGTAGGAAGTCGTTTACCTGTTGGGAGGGAGAGAACTGGCTCTGAGAATATAATAGCTTTCAGGCGTTTCCACCATCACGGGCAAAAGGTGGAAAAGGCAGGCATCATTTTGGCTTTTTCTGTAGTGTCAGTCACCGGAGAATTATGACTGAGTACATTATGATTTGTTGTCTCAGAGTCTCCTATTAAAAACAAATGACAAAACAAACAATGCTCCCCTCCCGCTCCCACCTTCCCCCCCCCCCCCCCCCCCCCGCCTCGGCGGGGGGTGGGGGGAAAGCCCAGGCTGGAAAGAAAACAAATCCCGCTCAAATCCCGTTCTCTGGAGGCTGCTGAAGGGTCCCTGAACTTGATGTGGGGTCGGCTGCGAGCCCTGTGCGCGGCAGACAGAGGCTGCCGCTGGTCAGGGGCTCAGCCCCTCTGCCCTGCCTAACCGAGCTGGTGCGTTTCTAACTCCCTAAGCAGTGGCTCCTCCTCTCTGTGAAAACGTTTTGTGTTTGAAACTGAGCTTTGTCATAGCCAGTGGTGTGAGAGGGAGGAAGGCACAGCCAGGGGGTGCGGGTGGCTCTGCCCGAACGTTCTGGAAGCGGGGTGGTGCTTCCCGCAGACTGCAGATGCAGCGCTCGCCCGCGGGGGCTGCCGGCAAGTTCAGGCATGGACTTCGCATAGCAGAATGGAGCCTGGAACAGAAAATGCTCCGAGGCTCGTATTTTTACAGTGTGTGTTTTACTGTGTTAAGAACAATACTGTTATTTCAGGTACTTGTGCATAACGCAGTGGAGCTGGGGGGAGGGGAGGAACATGGCTGTATTTGGGAAATCTAAGGGATTTAATTGATTTTATTTTTTTAAGCAGCACTGGTGCTCTTTCTTTTTAAGCTCAGAAGCTGTTAATCCGATGATTCATTCTGCAAGTGACAACAGAATCACTGAAAGATGTATTTTGCATGTGCTTAGATGCACTAGCATACATATATCAGTCTGAAACTACTGCAAATCCAAAGATATAGCTAACTTAAAAGGGATGTTAGTGATTGTCACTTTAATGTGACAGGCATTCTGGAAAAATAATTAGCTTTCCCTTACAAATCACTCTGGTGTTTTGGATTCAAAAGGTGAGGATAAATTATAACAAGTTAGGAGTACTTTGTATTGCTAAGTATTTTCAGATACAAAAGTAGTGTCTTGTTGACATTACAGATGAGCATATTGTGTTATGCTCAAATAACCTAGAACCAGCCATAATGAACAAATTATGCTTGCAGCCAAAATGGGACATATAATTTGACTGTATATAGCCTTGACACTGTTAAAGAGGAACAATGCAGGGAACTAGAGGAGGCCATGGGTAAAGCAGGCTCTTTTGGTCCTGAGATACTCTGCCATGTTCAGATTAATAATTGTCATCCCTGTCTCCATTACTTTGCTTTTTCACTAAATGGTGCTAAGCTGCAACTACAGCTGCCTATTGCTAAACGTGTAGCTAGCCAAACTTGATTTTTATTTAAGATTTCACAAATTTGTGTTTACAGCTAGTATAATAATGTACCTATTTGCATTGGTTCTTTCATACCCTGAGTTCTTGCAAGACTTATTTGCAAATTAATCATCCTTTATACACACACACTCACTTTTAAAGCCTGGCTTCTTTTTTCTTTCCCCCCAAAAAAGTACAGTGACTTTTAGAACAAACATTTTTCAAATGTAACTTATTCATTTATTTAATTGGACTTTGACTGGAAGAAAAAAGGTAAGAATTTTAAAATTGGGTATTAAAAGTCAAAGTGAGGCTGAAATCCCAGCTTCTGTCACTACGTGCCACTGTACCTTAGAGGTACTTGAAAAAATAATTATGGTTGAGAGATTTTTTTTCTTTTCCTCCTACACCTAACTAATTAAGAAAAAGTTAAATGTGAAATAGAGGCAACAAATTAAATGGCTGGACATGTTACTTGTCAGTATTAGGTTAAAAATAAATTTGTCTTACTTGGAACTAACATTTATTTCTTGTTGGAAATCTGCAAAATACTGGAAATACTAGGTTAAGAATACCTGGTTGCTGAGCATAGTATAATTTTTTTGGTGTTATTTCTATTACTAGACAATAACTGTGAGCAGTGTGTGTAGCATCCTACTTGAAACAGACTGCAAGGTGAAGTTTATTTTGCAGATGCTATTGTCAATTTTCTTTTATATGAACAATGAGAGCAGCACTTGACTTCTGACATGGATCTGGATTATTAGTAAGCAAATACCTAGAAAGGTATATTCTAGAACCCGTGGGGAGGGGCAAGGCTTTGCTCAGCAATATCCTGCTGCAATTTAGTCTTGAAATCAGGCCCCTTTATGTAAATTTTTACTGGCGCCAGCTAGCTGTAACTGCAGTCTGGCTCCGTGTCGGCAGCAGCTAACATGTGTCATGGACTTCTTCACACTGGCTGCGGGAGCACTCTGGTTTCCGGGCAGAAAAAGCAGCACTGATGAATGTGAAAAGATGTACAAAGGAATCTAGGTGTAATTAGATTGCTAGTAAGTGAAAATTCTGAGGGAATTTCAGCTTCTTGGTTTTTTGGGTTTTTTTTCCCCAGTGTGCTGTCTTGCGCTGTGCTGTAATAAATCTTAGCCTGTTGGTACTACTGTGTGGTATGTGGGAGGAACTTCACTGCACATAGTTGCTGCAGCACTAATAGTTGGCAGCACAGAAGGCAGTACAAAGAGTAAAACTGGAGGCACTTGCAGTTGCAACAGTGTCCTTAGAGGCTGTGGCATGCTCACTGAGCTGCAGGGGCACTCTGACGCATACAGCTACTATGTGGAGAAGTAGAAATTCCAGCAGGCTTCAAGGAACAGATGTAGGCTACTAGCTGAGAGGTGTAACAGCATAGCTCAGGCTGGCTGCAAACCAGTACTCATGCTGCTGTGTAAACAAAACAAGATCTTAGTATCAAGATGGCCGACCTGGAAGTCTACTTGTAGCTCATAGTACTTAGCTAAATGAGCTGCATGTCAGCGGCTTACTCAGAGGAGGAAGCTCATTTTGCACGTGCCATCTTCTCAGCAGGTAAGAGAATCAACTATTTTTCTGCATTCATGTTTTAGAGGACTTGGAAATTAATTTTTCATTTAGGTCCCACCCCCATACTTTGGCACAATGCCAGGAATTAAATTTCAATGTAAGTGGCATTTTCTGGGAAACCCAAAAGCCATTTGTTCTGGTTGTAATTATATTAGGGCTGCTGTTTTTAGGGGGAATGTTACCCAGAAATTATTGTAGACTATTTACTTTAGTAAAACTAAGTAGTTAAAAAATATTCAAAATTTCAGTATGTAGTTTTTGTTGGCAATGTTACTGCTTTTGTTTGATTCAAACCTCTACTGTTTTGCTAGTGTGTTATTTTTGTCTCTATAGTGACACTGGTTGATGCACATGGAGGCTTAGCAATAGTGAGAGCTTACCCTGGAGGGGGTGCAGAATTGACAAAGTTGAATTCACCAATTGTGTTTTGGCTTTGTGGTGTTATGAAGAGTCTTTGTTATTCTGGTTGTAGCTTGAATATTCTTCTTGTTGAGATTGCAAGGCTGTTAAAGCAAATAGATACTGAACTGTTATCCATGTATCTTTTAGTATATATACCTTCTTAAATGCCTATATGTACATTATTAAAAGCTGTAAGAAGGGAACTAAATCAGAATATGGTCTTTTTATTATCTCTCCCCCTTATAAGACAATAACTTTGCCTTAAGGCAGGACATTTTAACAGAATTGAAGTATTGCTAATTACATAATATGCTCCATTGTGGTTATGCATGTAGTGCATGAAATGGCTGCATGGGGCAGATGTGCTAGCTGTGCACAAATACATTTGTTTTGTTTCTATTTTACACGTCGAAGTAATGACAGCATGGAAGACTGGGAAGGAGAGATGGTAGGAGAAAATTATTTGAAAGGATGGTCACTGACCTAGAGAAAATAGATAATTGGAGATGCCTGAACAAACCAACAAAACATGGCCACTTAAAGGCAGACATCAGCTCAAGATAGGGATGTGGAACTGGAAGTAGACAGGCCTGTTTTGGTTGAAGGAAAAGTAAGATCAGTTGAAGAGAAGGAAACTAGAGAGGTAGAAAGACAAAGTAAGCAGATTAAATTATTACAGCTTAAAATGGCAGTGATAGATACTGAAAGTATTGGAGGCATTCTGAAATGGCCTGGGAATTAAGGCTGACAGAGTAAATATGCTAGGAAGGAGAACCGTAACTGGTTGATACCACGGAGGAGACTCTTTAACGGTAATAGAGAAAGGTAAACTTTTACATTCATATGGCAGAGAAAAACGCTGCATGCCTACAATATGGGCCAAATGAGCTGAAGTTTGTAGATAGCTCACACACTTTGAAACCTTCGATAACTTTTTAGTGCTAACTTAAGATTTGATATGGATGAAATTTTGCTTGTCTGCTTATATGCATGTCCGGACTACAAAAAGTACAAAAACGGGCGTGTGTGTGAGAGAGTACAAACACAGTGTATGGTAGATTTCCCCGCATAAATTACACTAGAAACCTTCAATGCCTATAAAGTTTTCCATAAATGTCAAATTCCGTTAGAACCAGTCTTGCTTTCATTGCTATATGAAGGAAGCAGTTTAGGGCCCCTCCCTCTTTTCTAGGAAGTGTGAGTGTTAGTATGGTAGAGGAGAAATGGCATTGAGTGGGGCATGAAAAATGTAGAAAACTGATTAAAATAAAATGTTTCTGAGAGGAAAACCTTGACTGGTAAAGCAAACAGTAACAAATGTGATATTTCTTAAGAATTGAGAATTCTAACAGTAATGTAGGTGATAATGATAACAAGATCATAGTGAAAAAAAAAGATATAGCACAGTAAATATTTTGCATTGTTTTAGATGAAAGTGAGATAATATTGTAAGGTCATGTTGACAACTTAACTTTTTGATACGTTGAAGTTACAAGGAAGATACTAAAGGTTCCATGATAGATATTTCTTAGCAAAGGTTATAATGAGGTCTTTGTAATCTGCATCCAGTTTTAAAATAATTGGCTAGGAATTCCGAAATGTCCCTCCCAGTAACTCAGTATAAAGTTGGAGTTGTGGAAGACCCGGAAGACTTTTTGAAAAGGTCTGGAGAAAAAGAATGGAGGATTAACAGTGTGTCAGTAAATGCGAAAGAATAGTATTTCAGTCAATGCAGAGGTCACTTAATTGCTGAAACAGTATTATAAAAAGGATATCCTAATTAATTTGGTTTAGAACAAAATTCTTTGCTGTAAATACCTAGTGTCTGTAATGCACTTAGTCTTTGATACTCCTTAAATAACAACTTCCCTCCCCAAATCCTGTATCGATAAAACATTAAATTGATTTTTAAAGCTTTTGGAGGGAAGAGGGTAGCAATCATGCTCCAAGTAGAGTTTATGACTGGCATTGTAAAATAGTTAGTTTTTGTTAATTTACAGGGGATGGAAAGATTGACTCTTACAGAGTCATCAGAATAATTTGCTTAGTGAGACCCAAACACCATTTATTAGATTTATTAAATTCTGTGTGTTACCCTTGCACACCAAAATCAGATTTACACATCTGCAGACCATCCAGCATAAAACACATTTGCTTGACAGGACACTCTGTCCTGGGAGTAAGTGGGGATCACACAGACAAAATAGATCGCTAAAGCCCAAAATAAACAGGTAATGCGGAGGTACTGAAATTCTGTAGCATACAGAGAAAGAGTAAGGAAGTCATACTCTTTATAAAGTTATGTTCCTGGATGACACTAAATGCTGATGATGTGAATTATCCTTCAATGTAGGTTGCAGTCCTGTTGTCTGTATTGGTTTTTTACAGTGCTGAAAAATTAGGAGGGGTTCTGGCAAAAAGCACAAGAATGATCATGACCTGTTCATATTCACCTTGGGGTTATATAAATAAAATAGTTTTATGGTTGCAAATGCAAGCCTAGGAGAGGTGATCATGCATACAAATTCATCAGGAGAGTCTGTAGTTAGTCTGAAAAATTACCAGGAAACAGTTCAGCTATGCTATGTGCCAGCACATGAAGAAGGGTTGTATAATGATTCTTCACTCATTCAAAGAAAAATCTAGCCTTTGATTTTTTTTTATGAGGTGAAACTGCCGCCTGTCCTTTCCAGGAAGCAAGCAAGCATGTTGGCTTGCTGGGTCACTAGGCAAGAGAGAGACTGTGGACAAGTGCTCCTTTTGATGTTAAAGGTTTCTGGGCAGAATCTCTCTGGAGGCTGACTTACAGCAAACCTTAATTGTTCAAAATTAAAGATGTTTTCTTTGTCTTTTATACATTTTATCAATGGAAGCATTTTTAAGTATAATTCTTATTGTCTGCTTCTGGCATCTATCTCTGGGTCACATTTGGGAAACTTTTGGGCAAGAAAAATGAAGTCTCTTTTACATGGCCACCCTGAGTGACTGTGCAGATGCATTTTTCTCCATATGATGTTTTATGAAATTTGGGAAGGCAAGCAGTCTAAAATAGCTGTATAAATTCTTTACGTACTTCAGTGTTTCTGAAATGGTATTACTGGATTGCTGCTTCATCAGCTGCTTTTCCCCCTCATAAAACAGTAAAATAAAGGATTTTTTTTTTGTAGAACTGCTTTGAGGTCTTCACTGAAGAAGTCTTTACCAGACCAAATACTACCAACTCATGAATGCATTGGGCAGTTTCACTACAGACTGGCCACTGTTTTTTGGGACCAGGATCAAAAAATTTTTACATACTGTTCTGGCAAAATCATTGCCAAATAATGAATCAGTGGAGGTAAACTTGCAGCCTCTTTTTTTGGTATTATACTATACTGTAAATCCTAGTTGGATGTCCTGTGAAGACTATCAATGCTTCATGTATTTGTAATATTGTTTTCTTTGTTTTTGAAAATTTGCATTAGCAAGCAAAACAATGACCTCATCACTGGAAGAAGTGTGTTCTGCTTTTCATCGCTTCCAAACTTTCCACTTAGGAATGCCACACTGGAGTTGGAGATGGCTCTAGACCTGGTTTTTCTGGTGTCCTAAACAGATCACATATCTAAGCGCATTTCCTTAGTTCACTGAGTTAGTGTGTATGATGTCACTAGTCAGCATGAACAAAACGTTGCTGGCTGACTTCAGTCCACACGTTTGCTGCCAGCAACCATGCAGAGGTGATGGTGTTGAGTAACTGCAAACTGGGGCTTATGGTGGCTTTGAAAAGAGTTCATCAGGAAAAAAAATTAAAACCTGTCATCCTAGATGTGAAGTTTAAACCCGGGAAAGCCTTCCAGAATTACTTGTGCATCCTGCGTAATGGCAAGCCTCATTAAGGTCATTAACAGACATCAGAAACACTTTGGGAAGTGTAAGTTGATCTCATTTGAGACCTGTAGCTTCTTAATCTAAAAGACAAAGGTCTTTATTGACCAGATGGAACATCTTTTCAATCTTCCTTTTTATTTGCTTTTGTGTCCTCTGAGAAACCTAGCATGAGAACTTGCTGACTGCTGTGGACAAAGAACACTTTGTGTATCTTTTTCCTGCTTTCTTCTTCAAGGATCTTAGACTAAGAAACCAAGGAAACACAAAAATTATTTTCCATTGTTACAGAAAAGAAATGCCTTCAGACTACAGATTTCAATTTCAGTTTCTTATGTTTAGAAGTCCATATTCCTTTGTAATATTAACAACAAACTGTAATTCATGAAAATACTTCACATTCCTTCTACTAGGATTTTGCTGCAGATGTGGCTGTTGACATTTGGTCATTCCACAGCACAAAAAATAAATAGTACTTAGCAGCTGAAGTGATACAGCAATTGCTAATTGACAGCCTTTTATTAAGATTTATACTGCAAGATGAGAAAGTCCAATAGCTGGGTTGCTTTTAGATAATTGGTTTTTTACTCTACATCTTTGAGACTTCTGTGTAACATTAGATTTGTCATCTCCTATTTCAAATGGGTAATTAAGCACTTGCTTTTTTCCCGGATCATTGTAAGGTAATGATTTGAAGAAATTACTGAAGTGCATGC